CGCCAGGACTTTAACAGGAGGACTTCCTTACGGAAGAATAATCTCTATCATTTTGGAAGCAAGTTCGGTTCGACTTCAACGGGAACCTCAAACTATGATGACATCCAAGGTCAACGAAATCAACATTTCTACGGAGATTAAGAACATAGGAATTGTTCAGAATGATGCAAAGCGGTTTGTTTACAAAGATGATTCGTCTTCTTCTACTGTTATTCCGATACCCGAAGAGGGTTATACAAATGAACTGATATACAAAAAGCTTGTGTCACTTGACACCAAAATGGATCTAAGCATTCGGGAGCATCGGAAAGGCATGGCCTTTATGAGAAAAATGTTTAAAAGCATGACCATGAAGCAACAACAAGCCATTGAAGAAGATGATGAGGATGATGATGAAGATGATGGTGAAGAGAACGAGATGTTCGAAAGTGATTAATTCTTGTTTACCATTTCTATGTTTTTAAGTTTATGTTTTTAAGACTTAATTATTATGTTTTCATGTTTACATTTGGTGTTGTAAAAACCAAGTACAATGTTCTTGTACCATTAATTATGTTTGTTTCGTACAAGTGTTATATTCGTGATGTTTCTATGTTTCGTATTATGATATTTTTCGTATTTTAGTTTAATTGTCCATCTTTGTGTGTTGCTTTTCCCATCCTTTTTGTTGTTGACAAAGGGGGGTAAGAAATACATGTGTGTATTATGTTCTTGTTTTCTAACAAAATTATGCATAAAACTATCAAAAAGTCTCTTAAATCAATAATTAAGGGGGAGCTTTCGAGAATTTGTTAGAAAATCCAGCGGAAAATGAATTTTCAAGCAAAGGTTGTCATCATCAAAAAGGGGGAGACTGTGAAGACAAGCTTCTCAAGCGATTTTGATGACGACATAATCCACGACATGCAAGGATGGTTTCATAACTTCAAATATATCAAGTTTTAAGCAACTCACTTTTATTTCACTATGTCAAAGCTTGATCAAGAAAGAAGTCGAGTTCTACACAAATGGAGGTACAACACTTAAGTTATTATATACCTTACACAAGTGTTCAACTTCTCTTTCTTGCATTTCATGAAAAACCTTTTAAAATTCATTTATGCAGTTATGCCTCGTTTTTTTAAAAATTGATTCTGGAAATTTGTATTGAGTAACCGATTACCCAAACCTGGTAACCGATTACCTGTTATAAAATTTCAAATTTTTGGTTACATTGAGGCTGGTAACCAGTTACCCACTTATGGTAACCGATTACCACTAGCGCTGCAGGCCAGAAAGGTGCATCTCTTGGCTGAAAAATGTTTTCTTCTTCTTCTTGAACCATGGCATCCTTTGGCCATTATAGCTCTTCTAAAAAGGTTTTAAGAGGCATATATATACTTCTAAATTCAGATCTTGAATCTTACCTTCTTGCAAAAAATTTCAAATATTTTTCATCTCTCATTTTTTTTTCATTTTTCTACAAGTGTCAAAATTCTGAATTTTTAAAAGAGTGAAACTTGCATAATTCAATTTTCAGAAATTCATCATAGTTTCATTCTTACTCATTTGAACACTTGTTAAGATATATAAGAGGTGAAATATCAAGAGGAAGATCAATCAGAAGATTGATATATTGAAGACAATTTCAAATCTACTCAAACAAATTTATTTATTTATTCCTTTGATGACATACTTAGTGTTCCAAGATTGTTGGAATCAAGTTTGTAAGGTTGTTACCTTACTGTCCAGGATTGTTGAAAGCAAGAGGTCCACATTGAGAGGATTGTTCTCATTGGACTTAGTTGAAAAATCCAAGAGTGTGTTCTTGGTGGTTTGATTGATTTGTGTCTGCATAGAAAGACTAGGTAGAAAGTATTGTCTTAGGACCAAACAATATTGAAAAATCTCTTTCGTGTTGAAAGAGGACTGGAGTACTCTCGGGCTGTGAGGAGAATCAGGATATATCGTTGTGTCTTTTTTACTTTCTGCATTTACCGCATTCCTTACTTAGAAAATCTTTAAGAAAGTAAAACAAGATTCCTACAACAAGACTAGAAATTTTTTAAGTACCTAATCCCCCCCCCCCCCCCCTCCTCTTAGGTGCATTTTTCACTTACATTTTGATTTAGTGAATAGGAAACGACAACTCAGTGCTACTGATGTTGGATACCATTGTGTCTTTGTGTTGAGTCATCGGAGATGTATCAAGAATATTGTTGCCCATTACGATATTTTCATACGAGTGAGTAGCATTTTTAACCATTTCATCTTTATCCAAGAAATCAAATGTCATATGCATTTTGGCACCTCAAATTGTTAAGGAAATTTTGAAGATTAACATGTCATTTGATAATACTATTGCTGATAAACTCATTTGGAGAGGATTTACAAATGGTGATCTATCTTTTAAAGATGCTTATGATTATATCAAGAGGGATCACATTGATCCTTCTTGGACAAAATTCATTTGGCATCCCTACATACCAACTACTAAGTCATTAATAACTTGGAAACTAATGCATAATGTTATTACAACATAAGACAACCTAATTCAAAGAGGAACGCGTATGTTTTCAAGGTGCTCTCTCTATAATTATGGTGTAGAAATTGCATACCACTTATTTCTTAGATGTAGGTGCACATACTTTTGAGACATTGGAACGATTGTTTGGCATCAATAGTGATAGAACTAGTTACGAAAGCTTATTCAAACTTATTGGTAGAAATTGAAGCTCTCAAATTAAGAATCTGATCAGGACTCTCATCGTAATATTTTTTTGCAAAACTTGGGATACAAGAAATGATATCATGTTTTAAAGTGGTAAAACTAACTTTGAATGAAGCATTCTTCATGTTAAACAATTGGTTTATATGACATCTAATTCTTTCAAGCGACACATGTACTCTTCAATTCACGAATTTATAATTGTTAAATGATTTGACATCAAATGTCGATCTTCTCCCGTATCTAAAATCATACAAAATTGATATTTTTCTAGTCATAACTAGATTAAATGATACACATATGGAGCTTCGAGAGGACGTTGTTGGTGATTTTAGTATCATCAATGTATTTTAGTAGTAATGTGATTTACTGTAGGCCGATGCAATTATACGTTAAGCTTGGAAACGAGTTAGGGTAGTGCGGAGTGCACGCTCGTCGAGCCAATGTACAATTGAATACGAATAATTGAAAAGGGGTTCCAAGGGGCGGAGCCCCTAGCGGGGTGCGGGGCAGCGCCTCGCTGGGGTTCCAAGGGGCGAAGCCCCTGGCGGGGTGCGGGGCAGCGCCCCGTGGGGTTCCAAGGGGTAGATGAACCTGTTAAGTTTTGAACCCATTCGAAATTAAATTTGAAAAGATGAACCCGTTCAAAAATTTTGAACAGATGTCCCTTTTCGTTTTCTGTTAATTAATCTCCTATATAAGGAGTCATTTGGCCTCAGTTTTACACACTGAACAAAATTCATATTCTCTCTACATTCTTGATCTGTTTTCTATTACCAGAAACATATTGTTCTTCATAGAATTATCCCCACAAAGATTTCATGAACCCAGGCAAATAATAGGGTCGAAATACTTTGCTCGGAAAGTGTACGAACACGATTCCTCGAAGATATCCAAGATTATCACACCAAAATTTCCAACAGATGTCATAGAATATCAACTTGTGGTGACATATTTAAGGATAATTTAGGAATATTCTTAGTAGCTTTCTCACGTAAGATTGAAGTTTGCACCTGATTTCAAGTGAATTGCAGAAATCGAATATGTTAATAGGAAGAGTTGGAGAAATATTTGGTTTGAAACTGACTCAATACTGGTCATTCGTGTATTTTCTAATGTGTACCTTTTAATTATATGGAAGAATATTTTTCAAACTACAAATTCCTTTAAATTTAAGATATCTCACATTTTCAAAAAGAAAAATGCATGTACAGATAAATTAGAAAATACATGTTTTTTTAAAAATATTTGTGCTTTTAAAAAAAATTTGAGGGATAGATTCGACTTATCCAACTCGGTTTTCATTACTTTTTGATGGGTAGATTTTATTTCCTCCATTTTTTTTTGTTTTTTTATTGATTTAATAATTTGTCTTTATTAAAATAATAATTAAAAAAAACACTAATAAATGTACTAGAAGAACTCTCCGAGGACTTACAAAATAAATATATTTAATATATTGAAAATTAAAATAATTAAATTTTTAAAAAAATATTTTCTCTATTTAGAATCCTTAGTATCACTCTAATAATAATATAAATTGCAACTAAATTTTTGAATCTTGTTATAGTATTCTTCTCAATAATTGAGTTTTAAAGTCAATTATTTTAATTTCTATACATTTAATTGACTATGCTTATTATATATTGATTCTGAAAATAGCCACTTGTTAGCATTCGGCTATTGCCTTTGATCTTACTTGATACTTTAGTACCAACTTCAACTCTCTATCACCCCATTTTTTAATATACAAAAACACACATCAACTAGTACTTTTGCCTCTCCTAAAATTCCAATGCTAATTAACCTTTCTTCTCCTTCAAAGGTTCATTCTTCTATGATCTTTGATCTGTCTTGCAACATATCATCATACACTTCTCTGGTTATTGATCTTTAACTCCTTGGATCCATTCTTCTGTTAAGAGGTACTATACATGTTATTTATATAGTATGATGCATAAAAGATTTGTTAAAATTCTAAGCAAGTTGTTAGTTTTTCAAAGGGTGTTTTTGTCACTTTGATCTCTGTACTCATCTTTTGAGTTGGAATTTCAAACAAGAATGGATATAGTGGCTAGGATATTCTTCTACCAAACTAAAGAACAATTGATTGTCTGAAAAATCAATGATCAATTTTGATTTATTTGTTATTTGACAGAAGATCATAATCGATTATTAGCCCGATGATTCGTGATGATTTAACTATATTAATCTCATATTGAGACTGCTAAATTTTATAATTGATACTAAACCTGATTTGTCCTCAAGTTTTTATTCAGATAAGGATAGAAGTATGTATATGACAGATACTTACTCGATCGAGAGTTACGAGAAGTATTTTCGTGACTCACAAACGGAAGAACTCGTAGAACTGTCTAGCTCCGACATTTCTACAAGTTCAATTCATCCAGATGGCGCTTCAGTGGTTGCTAATAACCCATTTGACAGTTGTTCCATGATGGAGAATCGAAGTGTGGATTCAACTGAAGTGGACGGTGTAATGAGATCGAAACTAGAAGCATTGGAGAGAGCATTACTTGAGGATAGTGACATTGAGGCGGAAGAGGAATATGATAACTCTCGATGCATGGAAATGGATTGGGCTGATCATGACCCGATGCAGAATATGTTGCTTCTCGATGAACATGATTCGCCAAAGGAGTATTCGTCTTCAGATTCCAACGTTAGTAGCATCCGTAGCGTCGCAAAAGAAATAAGAAAAATCTCTAGGACCCCCAAGCAACTGTTATATGAATGTGCTACTGCAATTTCAGAAGGAAATGACGAGGAAGCATCGTCGATGATAAACAATCTTCGACAGATGGTGACGATTCAAGGAGAGCCTTCTCAGAGAATTGCAGCCTATATGGTGGAGGGACTTGCAGCCCGTCTCGCTGAATCGGGTAAAAGTATATATAGAGCCTTGAAATGCAAGGAACCTCCTTCTTCGGATCGTTTAGCAGCGATGCAGATACTCTTTGAGATTTGTCCGTGCTTTAAATTCGGGTTTATTGCTGCAAACAATGCGATTACAGAAGCTGTTAAAGATGAAATGAAGATTCATATAGTAGATTTCGACATCAATCAAGGTAGTCAGTACATAAAACTAATTCAAACCCTTGCTTTGAGATCTCGTAAGCCATCATATGTTCGATTGACCGGGATCGATGATCCTGAGTCCGTGCAACGATCCGTTGGAGGACTAAATATCATAGGACAAAGGCTCGAAAAGCTAGCAGAAGCAGTTGGTTTGTCATTTGAGTTTCGAGCAGTATCATCCAGGGCTTCCGTTGTCACCTCATCGATGCTCAACTGTCGTCGTGGAGAAGCTCTTGTTGTGAACTTTGCATTCCAGCTTCATCACATGCCTGACGAGAGCGTTTCAACGGTAAACGAACGAGACCAACTTCTTCGCTTGGTAAAGAGCTTGAATCCGAAGATTGTAACGGTCGTGGAGCAAGATGTAAACACCAATACCGCGCCTTTCTTGCAGAGATTTGTTGAAGCTTATAATTACTACTCTGCTGTTTTTGAGTCACTTGATGTTACTCTTCCTAGAGAGAGTCAAGACAGGATGAATGTTGAGAGGCAATGCTTAGCTAGAGACATTGTAAATACGGTTGCGTGTGAAGGTGAGGATCGGATAGAACGGTATGAAGTCGCGGGCAAATGGAGAGCTAGGATGACAATGGCGGGGTTTACTTCATCGCCGATGAGCACTAACGCAAGCGACGAAATCCGGAAACTAGTTGAGGTGTATTGTGATAGGTACAAGGTAAAGGAGGAAAAGGGAGCACTTCATTTTGGTTGGGAAGACAAAAACTTGATTGTTGCTTCGGCGTGGAGGTGAACAAGAGAAAAACAAGATTGTTTTAGTATTTGGTGTAGTGTTTTTCTTGCTTGTTCAATAGTTATGTACACTTGTTATGATCTTTGTATTGTAATGTTTAGCTAATAATGAACTTTCATTTCACTTAAATGCAACATAACTAGGAAGACAAGGGAATATAAAAAAAGTTATAAAACATAGTGGTGACAAAAACAGACATATCTGTGCAGGTTAAAAAAACGGGAAGGAACGAATAAAGTTGAAAGGGTGGATAAAAAAACTTGTCTCGTCCGTCAAAGCAGGGCGGGAGTCCTTGCCACCATAAAGACTAAAAGTGATCAAAAGTCATGCATGTCACGTTTAGGCTCGCACTTGCAAGAAAAAAAGGGGTAGGACGGAGCGAGCAAAGTAAAATGAGTAGGGAAGATACTTTGGTTCGACCCGTCAAAAAGACAAGTTAAACTTGCATGTTGAGTGAGCCCGACATTTTGTTAAGTCTTTCTATATTTTATTTCGGCATAAAGTCCATAAGATTGTTTTTTTGATATTTTGTTCGATTGAGTTTTACACATGTATTTATGGTTTTTAGTTAAAATGTGTATAAAATTAGAATTGTGATTCAACTGCAATTTAAAATTAAAATCTACGCATATGTTTGGTTTTGTGATGAAAAAATTTGATTTGAATAAATTGATTTTAGATAAAAATGAATTAAAGATAACGTGATTTATGTTTGAATAAATTTATATAAAAATGAATCAAAAGAGTACTTTTCAATATGAAAGTCTCGTTTAAATTTAAAAACAACATATTCTATCTTCAAATAAAATCAATTTTAAAGCAGAACTAAATATCTCAAAGTTATTCAAAACTGAATTTTAAACTTCTAAAAAATTATTTTTAGCTTTTCCAAACTATTAATAACATAATTTTTCGTTTGAACTTAAGTTATGGGGATAGGAATGACTTTGTGATTCATTTTATTTTATAAAATAGAAGGGAAATAATTTTTTATTTGTTACCTGATAATATTAAGAAGGTATAAAGAAAGATCAAAACGGCATGAATCAGCATGTTCCTTACAATTAATTAAAATTTAATGTGGCATTATATAATTGTCATGGTTAGCTAAAGCTAAACAGATTAAGAAACTTCTATTATATATTCCATCATTTTTATGCCACCTTTTTCTTGTTGAGTGGTGACATATCACAGTCGTTTGAGGTGTAATGGAACTAGGGATCGTTTTCATGTCCAAATATTAATTATTAAAATAGATGGAATGTTAATTTAAAGAGATATTTTTCCAATTTAATCTGAAAGATAAGAGAGGAAGTGGAGAAAGATAACAAATGCTTTCGGTGCGTATTTGATTTTTTATTTATTTAAACTTTTCGATTTATTTTAAACATTTTATAAAAGCTTAATTTTATTCTCTTTTTAAAAATTTATAAATATTCATTTAAATTTAAAAATAGTTGGTTGCAAAAAGAGGACACCAGAAAGAGATTAATCTATTGTGCGGAGGAGGTTAAAAATGAAGTAGATGGAAACACGTGAAATTTGAAGGAGTTGAAAGATCTCATGGAAGAGATGGAAAAATACCGTAGTTGTAATGAATCTGATAACGTTAAAAGTTTTTTGGAGGCACGGTGGAGACATCTTAAGCCACTTTTCAGGAGGAAACATTTTGGAAACAACCTGCTAAAATGCATTGGTTTAAGGAGGGTGGTTTAAATACAAAATTCTTTTCTATGTCAGAAACGGTTAGAAGGAAATTCAAGAAGATTGACATACTAATTAATGAAGATAGAGTGGAAGTGGAAATGAAAGAATAAGTAGGTTTATATGAAGTAGCAAGCGAATACTTTAGCCAATTATTTAAAGCAAAAGAAGGAGTATATGAACATGTGCTCTATCTGATACAACAGCGGATATCAAGTGAGAAAAACAACAAACTACTAGCGTCTATTGTCGCTACTCGAAAATGCAACGACGGAGAGGCGAAAATAGAAGGACAGAAGAGTCACCATCGAACTTTATTTATCCCATAAGGGGAAAGAAAAATGTAACACCCCAAATTTAATCGGAATATTTTAATTAATTTATTTAATTGAGAATATTCATATTTTGGGTGTTTCCGGTGATTTTCGGTGTTTTGTGGAATTATTGAGAATTATGCAATTTATGGGTTATTTATTTAATTGATAGTATATCATATTAATTTATTAATATTATTATGAATTAAAATAAATATAAGAGGAATAAGGGTAATTTGGGAAATTGAGAGGAGGAAGTGAGGGTATAATGGAGAAATTCCAATTGTGTGGCTCAAGTCTAAGTTTGACAAAATAGAATTATGAAGGTTTAGGATTCATTTTGTTAACCGTGAAAAGAATGGAGGCCAGAGCTCTGAGGAGGGAGAAGTGGAGGCAAAAGCTTCGGAAGATGCCCGGAGATAATCGTGAAAGCTTTGAATCGGCTAAGGTATGGGGAGTATCGTTGTTCATGATTTTCTATGTATGCCTTTAGATGTGTTTATGGTTGGTTTATGATTTAAGGTATTTTGGGGTTGATTTGGGCGAATTAGGGAAATTGACTGTACGACTATGAGATTATAGCTAGTGGTATGTAACACTGAATATTGATATGAGAAAGGAAAACCTTAGGCCTTCGTGGCCAAAACCTTGGGTTGTGATATGTTTGACCCTGTAGGAATAGGAATGTTCAAATGTGAGTAACTCTGATGCACTAAGAGCAATTGCAGGAAAATAGTGATTTAGGCAGTGCAAATGTTGCCAGATTGGCCTAATAAACCATAGATTTTGTGTTGTTATCGTCGTATGACCTTAGGGATGATTTAGGGATGTTTTGGGGGCATTGGGTAAGTGAATCGTATGAGTATTTGGGCAAAAATCAGTTATGGTCGTAACAAGTTTTGCTGTCATCGCACTGTTCGCCTAGCGAGCATGTCAGCGAAGACTCGCCACAGATTCGCCTAGCGAGCATGCTAGCGAAGACTCGCTACCGACTCGCCTAGCGAGCAAGCCAGCGAACGTAGCAGAGTTCGCGAAAGTTGATCGTGTTGCAGCGACGCCTTGATGTTTGATTCGGGGATTTCTGGGATGGATTACCATGAGTATGGCAGTGAGGAGTTATGTGATTAATAGGCGATAGTGTGAGGATTATCGCGAGTATAATTGATGAATTAATATGAGATGATATGGGTAGTATTAGGAATTAATATATGATAATATGTGGTAGTATGGTGGGCTAATATGAGGATGATTATGATACAAATATGTAATTATTATGATGAATTATATGACGATTTCCATGATGTGTGAAGATGATGATTATTATGATGAATTATGTGATAACATGAGATATGTTGATTTATGCGATGATGATGATTATTATGATGAATTCTATGATAACATGAGATATGTTGATTTATGCGATGATGATGATTATTATGATGAATTATGTGATAACATGAGATATGACGATTTATGTAATGATGATGACTATGTTTATGAATATGATGAATGATGATGCACCTATGATGTTATTATGAGGATGATTTGTGACGTGTGCATCATGCATTCATGGGCATCCGGACTTCGGTTCAGGACCTCGATTACTTTGGCTTCAATCTCATTGTGCGGATGTGAAGTATTATGATGTGCTCCGGTTCTCTAGTAGAATCGATCCTATTGATGGGGATCTATGGAGGGTTGATGGCTCAGTGTCCATCAAGTTGTGATGATTGGTACCACATGCATTGAGTCTATGTTGCATTTGCATTTATGAGCCTTTGTGTATAAATTATGACGTTGTGGCCTTCGAGGCCTATTCAAGGATATGAATGTGTTGAATATGCATATGACGCCGTTTATGCACTAACTGTTATACATTGATTATTATGAATTGTTGTACTCACCCTGCCTATTCGAATGTTACCTCCACGTGGGTAACGTGCAGATGAGCAAGTTTAGTCGTGGACGCTGTCGAGGAGTCATTTTTGAAGGTTGAGTTATTAGTTGATTTAGGTGACTAGAGGGTCTTGCTCTGATATGTAACATCGGGTTGGGTTCTTTGAGTTGGTTTTATATCAGTGGGTTATTTTATTTATTTTCCCTTATGAGGAGAAACCTTGATTTATGCTTTGAGTTCTGCTGTTTATGATGTTTTGATGTATTTTGGGGAAAACCCGTAGTTACGGAGTATGGACCTATTTTGATGACTTTGAGTAATGTACGCCCTTTTAGTGGCTTTTTAATGAGATTTACTTTTTCACTCTGATTTCTGTGTTATTTTGCCTTAATATTTTTGGGGTAGAAAAAGGGTGTTACATTAGTGGTATCAGAGCAGGTCGGTCTGTCCGACCAAGTTGTCTAATGTTGTTTGTTCCCTTGTATGCGACATGTGTGTGAAAACACTGTCGGTACATGTTTGTTGCCTAACCTTTGTCTGCAGAAGTGGGAATGAAACAAGTGGGGGAGAAGTTGTGCTTCTCTAGGACGCTGCAAGTGTGAAGTGGCGGCTCAGTGTAGTTGAACGCTCTTATAGTTTGGTAAAGATGGTTTATACCCCCATCATGATTTTCGGCTGTCTATTGACAAATTGAGGAACTGATCAGCCTTAATCTGTTGTTGATAGTAGACGGGGTCATGTTGGATGAGATAGACGTATCTTGCAAGCTTAGATGGGGTGTACCAAGAATTGTTTGAGTTAAGCTAAGTGCTTACGAATTGGTTTGATGAGTTGGCACAGGACGGTTTTGAGATGTTTAATTTTGATGAGAATTTTGAGTGTTAAGGAGAGTGGGGAAGTTGGTGGTTTGCCGATTAATTGTGGTCGTTTGGAAGTTATCCTGACAAGATAGTGATATACATCCAGAACTTGAAGTGGAGTTGTGATCGACTTAGTTACGAAAACTAGTCTGATATTGAGAGCTCCATATTATATGTCTGTTTGGATGGTCAAGAAATTAAATTGATTGAGTAGTTTTGAGACTT